TTACAGTGTTTGGTTAAATGAATAAAATATTATTGTAATGTATATTTTACCAAATTTTCCTTATTATATATTTGTTTTTTAACAAGTTAAATTATACTATAATATTACTATAATTAATTTATATATTATCTTTAAAAAAATTAAATTCATAAAATTTATATAATTTTTTTTACAAAATTAAAAAAATAAATAGGTTTAGATAATTGTAATTTAACCTTCGTAGAATTTTTATTTTTTAACGACATAAGAACAATATTTTTGAAAAAAATTAAGGGTATTTTGGTTCAAAACGTCGATAATCCAACAATACCTAAGGGAAGGGGGTAATCACATTCCCGGTAATATACCCTCAAAATACCACTGTTGGGAATAAAATATTATCGGGAAATAAGATTACTGACCAACCAAACGGGGGAATGACATTCCATTCCCCCGGTAATCCCATATTACCTGAACCAAACACCCCATAAGGGTTAGGGTTAGTTAAGGTTAGTTTAGGTTGTGGGCTTTGTTTGTACTTGGGCTGTAATTTGGAGCTAAAAACGAAATTAAATATTAATATTAATAATTAATAAAAATGATTAAAAACCCAGACAAAAATAGGTGTCTACAATAAGATTAAGAGATTAATCAAGTTGTAATCCCAATGTAATATATATATATGTTGATTTATCTGGTTAAATCAAAAACAATATTTCCCTCTAGATTTATATTAAGATAAATTACACATTTAGTATCTAAACTATCAATTTTAGTATGTTTTAATATCTAATTCATTTTTTTAAAATCATACCTAACGTTTAGCTTTTGTTTTATTTTAGTACCTCACTATTAAAAACTTAACGCATTTATGTGCCTAAACTATTTTGGTCTATTTTTAGTACCAAAACTTTCAATTATTTTCAAAACTTAACATTAAATTTTGAACAGAGTACTAAAATGAAACAAAAATTAAACTTTAGTTATGATTTTGAAAAATTAAAAGTTTAGATACTAAAACGAACCAAAACTGATATTTTAGATACTAAAGTATAATTTGCCTTTTTTTAGTTGTTTAAACTCAAAAGCATGTGATTTTGAATTAACCCCACCTTGTATAATAATTAAAAACTTGATTGGACTTGCCATTTCATTTCCCTTCGTCCATTGTTGTAGGAAGATGTGCTTGCCTCTTGCTTGAAGTAATGGGGCCTTTTCTATTTTTGGAGTTTTCTTGTTTTTACGGTAGATTAATGATGAAAAAAATTGTGGTGACGGTCAATTTATTTGATAAAGTTTAGGTAATTATCATGTTGAATGTGAATTCATATTATAAACACTTACATCATATAATGTAGGTCTAAATCATCCATTAGCCCACATCATATTATAAACATTATTAAAATAAAGGCAATTATTAGTGTTCCAAATGATGATTCTTGGCCACCTATAATCTTTACATTACTTTGTTGGACGTCATCCTAATCTAGGGTTGTAAAATTGGGTAATCGTTCAGGTTTCAGTCTCATCCTGTCAGATCGGGTAAAATCGAATACATGTCAAGTCAGGTAAATTTGATGCTTCGACTCGGATCAGGTCGGATCCAAATCAAATCAGGTCGGGTCATTTTCAGGTTGATTTGACACCAGATACAGTTTGGGTTCAGGTAGGGTTACTTTCAGTTAGGATAGATGTCAATCTAGGTCAAAACAGTTCAGGTTTGAAGCAGTTAAAAAGCAGGTTAATTCAGGTTCGGATGGACTTCAGGTGGATCTCGTTCAGATCGGGTCACATCATTGGCAGAAAAAATTCAGGTCGGTTCTCTATCAGATACGGATTGAGTTCAAATCGGGTTAATTTTAATTTTTGGATTAATTATTTTCGTCTTTCGTTAACGTTGAATTGCAATTTGTAATTGTATATGATTTAGAGTAAATTACTAAGAATATAAATAATCATGGCTCAATTTTATGAAAAATACAAATTTAAGAATTAAATTGAACAAATATGAAATTACAAATAAAAATTTAAATAAATTAAACAACACACATTGATGAGAGATCAAATCGAAATAATTTTAAATTGTGAGGTTCAAATTAATACAAAAAAGTACTAAATTATACCCATTTTAAAAGTTATGGGCCAATTAAAAAAAATAGAAATAAATAATAAGTATGGATCAATTTCAGATGCAAATAAAATTTGGAGGACTAAATTTAACAAATATGAAATTATAAATAAAAATTTAAATAAATTAAACAACACACATTGATGAGGGATCAAATCGAAATAATTTTAAATTGTGAGGTTGAAATTAATACAAAAAAAATACTAAATTATACCCATTTAAAAAGTTATGGACCAATTAAAAAATATAAATAAATAATAAGTATGCGCCAATTTCATATGCAAATATAATTTTAAGGACTAAATTGAACAAATATGAAATTACAAATTAAAATTTAAATAAATTAAATCACACATTGATGAGTGATCAAATCGAAATGATTTTAAATTGTGAGGTTGAAATTAATACAAAAAAGTACTAAATTATACCCATTTAAAAAGTTATATAAAAAATATAAGTAAGTAATAAGTATGTGCCAATTTCAGATTCAAATATAATTTTAAGGACTAAATTGAACAAATATGAAATTATAAATAAAAATTTTAAATAAATTAAACAACACACATTGATGAGGGATCAAATCGAAGTAATTTTAAATTGTGAGGTTGAAATTAATACAAAAAAATACTAAATTATACCCATTTAAAAATTTATGGGCCAATTAAAAAATATAAATAAGTAATAAGTATGGGCCAATTTCATATGCAAATATAATTTTAAGGACTAAATTGAATACATATAAAAGTGAAAGACTTAAAAGTGAAATAAATTAAAAAAACACAAAAGGATGCAATTGAAATAAATGCAAAATGTGAAGAAATAATGAAAAATATAGTAAATTACCTTCGTTTAAAAATTTGAAAAAAAAAGTATAATATATATAATATAAGTTTATATATAAACTATATATATATATATATATACTATATTTATATTATAAACTATATAATTATTATAAGCTATATATAAAGAGAAAATAACCTCAGTGACCGAAAATGCCTTATAATATACGAATTTAACCAACTTTTTTCGGATTTGCCAAAATGACCAACAAATTCGCAACGCGAACTCCAATTTCGCAACCCAGTTTCCAATTTCGCAACGCGAATATGTAAATCGCATTGCGATTTTCCAAATTCGCAACGTGAATTTGTAAATCGCAACACAGAAGTCAATTTCGCAACGCGATAGTCAAATTCGCAACGCGATAGTCAAATTCTCATCACAAAAGTCAAATTCGCAACGTTTATTTGTAAATCTCTAATTTGTTTTTTACATAATTTTATTTTTATATAATTTTTCAATGATTTCTCTCCCAAATTATCAACTATCAACTTAATAAAGGTATGTTTTTCTCTAAGTTAGTGATGATATCTAGTTTATAGTTCGTTTGTTTAGTAAATTAATTTACAATTTGTATAATAAAATCATCTAATGTTGATCATGTTTGGATAGATTTGTGTTTTGGAGGGTTATGGGAGAATGTTCATGGTGTTTTACAATATGTGTCTTTACCCATGAATCTTCAACTAAAACTGTCATTAAAAAAGTTAATTTATGAAACTCTAATGTTACGTGTTGCAAAGAAATTGAATTTAGAGCCTCTAAGTGGATTTAGTCTATCTTATCAAAGAAAATGTAAAGTTTATTTGTTAACCGACAATGAAGATGTTGAACGATTCATTGCTTACATTAGTGTTTCGCAAGAAGATGATGTTACATTGTATGTTGTTGAACCTAGAAGTAGTGAAGTTGGGTCAGTAGCGGGTAGTAATCAACTAAGTTCTTCAACCCCAGTTTATGGTGCTCACAATGTGCAATGTTGTTATCAACCTCAAAATTTAATGGTTCCACCACAATTTCATCACCAAGAAAATTTTGTTTCACCACATTTCCAATACCAAACACAATATCAAACACAATCTCAAAACTCACAACCTTTTCCTAATCTAAATCTCAATAAACTTTCAACACCAAATTTCAGTTTTCGTATTGACCAGTTAGACGATTATGAGCCAACAGAAAAAATTGTGAGTACTAGTCAGTATTCAAAATTTGATCTTGGTTAATACCCGGACTTTAATCTTGGTCAATACTCGGATTTTGATGATGTGATGGAAGAAGAAACATACTCTGCATGTAATGATTTTGATATTGGTCAATACCCGAATTTTGATGATGAAACAGTCGCTGCCAAGGAAGATGTTGTTGATGACAATGAGGAGGAAGTTACGACTGTGAATGAATATGTTGAACATCCATTCTGTAATTCATATAACCCTGGAGAAGAAGAAGAAGTCCCCGAAGAAAAGAAAAAGAAGAAAATGCCATGGGAGTATAACTGAAATATGCCAGAATTACTTCATATACCGGAAGAAGAGTTGGTAAAGATAGCAGTTGATTGTTACACAAAAGTTATTCGTATCAAGAAAGATGATTGTTTTGATACAAAGGAAGACTTGAAGATAGCTTTGTATACGAAATGTGTGGAAGATGGCTATCAACTAAAAGTTAACAAATCAAACAAAGATCATTTCGAAACACGGTTTATGATTGACAAAAACTGTACGTGGCGTATGATTGCAAAGAGGATAAAAGATTGCGAAATGTTTCAAGTTAGGAATTTTATTGATAAACATACATGTTCAAGAACCCAAGTTTTTTCTCACCATAGACAGGCAAACAAAAAGGTGTTGGGTGGTTATCTGGCTGAGTTAATGTTTTTGAATGGAAGGGTATATCGGGGACATGAAATTATAACTGACATGAATGCTCAGTTCAAGATTAGTATCTCATATTCTCAATCTTGGAGAGCCAAATGTTATGCCTTGGAATTGTTGATGGGGTCGCCAGAAGCATCGTTTGCCTAACTGCCGGCTTATTGTCATAATTT